TACAACTTAAGGATACGGATATAAGAAACTATAGACTATGTATTTGGACGTCACAAACATCTAATTTGAACCAAACCTGTATTCAACATACCACATGACATACAACTTAAGGATACTGATATAAGAAACTATAGACTATGTATTTGGACGTCACAAACATCTAATTTGAACCAAACCTGTATTCAACATACCACATGACATACAACTTAAGGATATTAAAATTTGAATTATAATCTACAATCTGACACCAAACTTATTGACACTCAAAAGATAGTGGTTCAATAAAATATTTAAGTCTATAAACATAATGATATGCCCTTTGACCCCTTCTTGTAGTGTTAATGGTTGTTTGAAATCATTCATTATCACATATTAACCGTGTAGTAGACATTTGTATTGCATATAACTATCAAGATCTTGGAAGATATAGATCTATTTTATTGTAAGATTTTCTCTAGCATGAGCAACTGATTTTCTAAAAACATTGCAGTTACTTTGTTGGGTTAAGTCTACGAAAATCAATGAAATAATGAAGAATTAGCTATTCTTTGCACTTCCCATCTGAAAGAATCTGTAATAATTTCACTCGGTAATTTACTCTAAAAAAGTTATTAGCAGTTAGTAGTGTTTGCTCTTTTTAAGCCTATTGAAACAAGATAAATAAAAGATTAATAAATTAAAAACCTGTAAATAAGGATTGTAAAAAAGGTAAAGAAACGAGGCTGGAGAAGCTTTAGATCTTATTTACTCAAACTACAAACCTCTATTTTGTTTGCTGGCTTTTTATATGCTCAACTATGGGCAAAGGATTACTTGATATGGCAGCTAGTTAATACAGTTCATGATGATTTACTGTAGCTATTGACTATTTGATCATCTTAGTTCGAGATGTGAAATGTTAAGCTGCAGCTGGATATTGTAATGGAGATTTGTTTGAGAATATAGCGAGCCATTATAGTTTCTGTGTAACTAAGTTATCTATATATAATGCATAGCAATGGCAAATATATGACTAGACTAAGAAACATCCAACATGTGCATTGATTGTTTTTGTCCTACTTCGCTTCATACATAATATAGGGGTTGGCTCTTTAAAGACACTGAGTGTATAGTGTACAAAGCACTGAGTATCTACGTGTTACAGTCATCTAATGTTCATCTGTTATTGGCTGGTTATTCCTGTTTCACCCTGTACTTAAGCTTTTTAAAGGAACACCAGATATTTGTAAGAAAGCTAACTTTAAGGGGTAATGATAAAAATTTTTTACTAGAATTAGTGAGTTTTTCAACTTATGTAAAATATAGAAGAAACGAATTTATTATACCCCTACGACCTTTGCAGTACCTTATTTAGTATTCTATAAAAAGTTTGGGTGCAATATACCATTTTTGTTAGAGGCTGGCAAGAGAATAATAATAAGAATTACAAATGGGCTATGTTGAGCGGATTTTCTTTTCCTTCCAAGTCGAAGGTTGTAAAGTGTTGTTCAAACAGAATGTTTAATGTGCTGTCTTTTGCCCAAACGTTCTATTAGGGTTTTGTACAATTCCTTGTGATCCCTATTATGAACCACTACAGTGGTTTGTGATAAAACATAAGAAAGTATCATGGTATATGTAAAGGTTAACAGAAATTCATATAAAATCATTTTCTTAAACATGTGTATGCACATGTATATTACTAATTCGTTCTTTTCATCAACAGGTGTATTAAGTTATAGCCTTCTGTGGATGTTGGCTAGTGAACATATTGCTGTTTGAGATTCAGTATTTGTACTTTACATTCTTATTGAGCTTTATTGTAGTGTAAAACAGAAGAACAAGTGTTTTTTATATATGTACTATATTCTTACATAAATTTAAATCAAGGGTAACCTGCCACAAGAATTCAAGACGACTTACAACAACAGGAAAGACTTGTGGTTTGTATTACAAATAATTTTGTTTCTTTTTTCACTGACGCTTCTGTTCATTGATAAAATAAATATTAGCATCCTTCAGTGAAAAACAAAAATGCAATACCAGTAAGTGAGGACCACCAGGAATCTGAAGCCTCTGATTCTGAAAAAGGAGGAGTTCTTTCCAGAGTTAAAAATCTGGAAAACGAACTAGAGCTTCGTAACATTCAAATATCTGATCTGCAACAGAAGATCTTAGATGCTGATCAAGGTGCACAATAATTATTATTCTTAGAATCTTCTAAAACTCTTAAATATTCTAACTTTTACATAATTATGACTTGCCTGATGCCTCAGTATATACCACAATTAACTTCTAAAACTCTTAAATATTCTAACTTTTACATAATTATGACTTGCCTGATGCGTCAGTATATATCATAATTAACTTCTAAAACTCTTAAATATTCTAATTTTTACATAATTATGACTTGCCTGATGCCTCAGTATATTCCACAATTACAACAAATATCACTGAGTGAATGTGAATTGTGTTTAATTAGACTTTTTTTATTATTCAAGCTATAACTTTAGTTAATTTAATTAGTATTGTTATAACTACTAACTTATTGACGCAGCATGACTAACTCTGGATATGGGTAGGTCAGATTGAGCATGTCATGATCTTTTTACAGAGTTGCTTTCAAAATTAATTAAACTACTTTATTATGAATGCATATCAATAAACTTGGCATCAAACCATTTATAATTCACATTTTTATATTATTTTAGTTTAGGTTTGTTAATTTGAAAAAATAAATATTTGAATAAATTCTCAATCTTCACTTCCATGTTTCATGTGACATTTCTTCACTCTGAATTGTTCATTTTAGATATACTTTCTACGTCTGTTTGAGCTTCTGCGTTAAACAGAAGTTAAACATGTGTAGTACAGGTATTGTTAAGATGTAATATAAACCTAGCCTCCCATCTTCTTGCTTTCATGTCTTTCTATCACATCCTGTCTTTCAAAAAATGTCATTAATTCTCTGACATTTGCTATTGGAATATTTGTAACCAATAAAAAGAGAAGATTTTAATTTATTAACTTCCTTATAAGGCTAGCTTATTTTTACAATAGTTTATGAATTATTCAGCCTACAGTTTTACTCTTTATTATCGCTGAGTCACCTCGAAAAGCCTAAAGAATTATTTCAAACCACTTGTAGCTTAATTATAAAGCTTGTTACGATGGTTATAGGACATTGTTTTTCTTTTTTTGTATTTTAAATTGAATATTTAAAATAAATATAAGTTCAGTAAAGTGCCAACAACAACCCTATAAAGAAGTTTTTTTATTTATTGTTATAAAAGTAATTAAAATGCAAAAATCATAAACACGCTACTTAGATATGAGTCCTGGGCTTGCTTGCAATATGTTTTTGTATCCTTGAGCAAGACACTTTCTCCCAGTTATAGTTGGTAGCCGAAGGTTAACCTGTGATGAAATGACATCCTGTCCAGAGAATGTGTTGCCTTTCTCACCCACTTGTGTCATTGAAACTGGAGTTCAGTTGATATCTGGACATGGGATAGGTTTGACAGTAAACATTTAATGTCGACTCGGGCACCCATATCTGCTCATAGTTTTATATATTTGTAGTTTAATTTCATTTATGCCATTTTAGTATAGAAGGTGTACTTAATAGATAAGTTTATCCCCACATCTGTGTCCTACTTTCTGTTATTTCTGCCATTTTTACATTTCCTACTTTTTAACACATACCTACTGTATGTGAACTAACGCTATGTGTTGAGTATCAATGGTCTACTGAGTGAAGCTAAGCAATTAGTGGGATTTGCTAATTAATTGTTGAGCTCATTAATCAATTACATTCAACTATTTGATTATTCTCATATGAGACTGATATTTATATTTCCAATTTATTTTGGGTTTGGTTAAAGACTTTTTCCAATTATTCTTTGTTTAATATCGTACACAGCTTCAGATACAACAATTTAGGGTTAAATTACTATTTTAATTCTAAAATGTTGTACATGAAAATGTCATATACACAAAATTTCATGAAACGTGTAATAAGTTGAAAATGTGATTAATACCATTCCTTATGTTTCCCACTGCAAACTTTAACAAGACTGCTAAAGCTACTGATATTTTGATGTAATAAGTTGAAAATATGATTAATACCATTCCTTATGTTTCCCACTGCAAACTTTAACAAGACTGCTAAAGCTACTGATATTTTGATGTAATAAGTTGAAGATGCGATTAATACCATTCCTTATGTTTCCCACTGCAAACTTTAACAAGACTGCTAAGCTACTGATATTTTGATGAATACTGAACAGAACATTCTCAGGTTTTGTTGTACACGCCCTTTTAAAAAATGTCACTAGTATAGTAAAAGATGCTGCATTACCAATCACAGTTAGTAAGGTTAAGAATAGAGTTTAAGGTTGTTATTAAAAACTGATATTTATTACTAACTAAACTAATTCTTCATTAAAAATCATTGTCTTCAATAAAAAGAGTGTAGTTTTGTTATAGTACTGTATAACACTTTTTTAGTAACTCATCATTAAAAATTGTGATAAAACTTGTAAGTATTCTTCTCTCAGATTGTGAAAACAAAAATAGAACAACATTTATTATCTGGAAAGAAACCTTGTAATCATACTAGATGACGTCTTTGTAGAGATTGAGATGATTCACAAGATGGAACTCAATATTAAACAGGAATCCTATATATAGGTTATTGTTAAACTGTTGTAGTCCGTGACTACTCATTTCTGACAGACACAGTTAAATGAGCCAGCCATTCAACAATCAATATTTTATTTGAGCAGATAAAGAATAAGGAATATTAACTTCCTGTAACTTTTTGTATTAAAACAATTTTACCATAAATCATTAATGCAAACATGATTTTTTTAATAAGGAGGGGACTCGCTTTTAATCCATAAAAAGAAAGACCTCTTCAGGTATACAAATATAGTTTAAAAAAAAATATATGATTAAAGTACTTGTACTTTTAAAAGTTATGAAATCCAATTTGTCTTATTTTATGATATAACATGTAGTTTATATACTTAACATATATGGAAAATGTTAAGCCTAATAATATAATGTATAGGAATTCTACAATAAGAGTTTTGTTTTACTTAATCAATCCTAAGTTTATAATAATTACTCCGAGAAAGACTATTTTTGACAAGATTTCTTCTTTTGGGTAATATCTGATCATTCTTGTAAAACAGAATTCCTTAAAAAACATTAATTGATCCCTAGGTATAGCTAAAGTCATTACTTATATCGGTATTACTGTTTAAACATGTAGGATAGATTTGTGTGCCAAAGAAACACTACTTGCAGTTGAAATCTTACTGAGCATAGAACAAAAAACATTGTTTTAAAGTAGTTATAACTAGAGAAGAGTATTGAACAATCTAAATATTATTTTTCTTGTTATGTACCGTATTGGCCAAATTATAAGAAATGTTTTTTGATTAATAATTAGGCTTATAATAACGGCTGATCGCAGGCCCCTACCTTCCACTCTAGCCTGTCACATTTCTGAATGTCCAGATAGCATCCATCCACGCATGCGTGCCAGATGTTTGCTCAAGGTCATCACTAATTCTTTCAACTAATCCATCTGCAGGCTCTTCAGTTGTAGTATTTATTTTGCAGACCTAAAAAAGGACGCTATGACCCTCAATGTTTTTTCTTTCCCAGGGTTTCTGAAAATAGGTGTTGCCTTATATTTGAGATCGCCCTATAATTGGGCCAATACGGTATTTTTTGTTGTATACATGGCCTAAGTATTGTAACAGTGATTATGTTTGTAGTAAGTAATAAGTGAACCATTAACATGAAATGCTACTACATCTGGTGTGGAGAAGTTACATTTGTGTTACTTTACAACATGATAATACTATATTATCCAAAATAGTTTTTTGTTTAACTTTACAAAATAAGTTGATGTTCTAATTTCTATGT